TAATTTCTCTATTATGCTTACAGCCTTACGTATATATAACATATGATACATTTATATCCTTGTGTAAAAAATTATAATATTGACGCAATAACGATATATTAATTGATCATTGTCAGAACTACTGTATAGCTAAGACGCTACGTGATATTTGTTATGTCAACAGTGTCAAAAACAATTTACGTGCTCACATTTTGACGCATTTGCCAGTGGAAGCTCGCAAGTATCAATGAGATATGCCAGAAGAAGTTAGTAAAAAACTCTCATCTCACTGTTCACAAACGTATTCATAGCGGAGTACAGCCTTATAAATATATGCGACATATGCTCGTTCAGTTTTAAAACAATTAAGCAACATGAAACAATTTAGAAGACGGCACTTTATGAAAGAAGACGAATATATACAAGAAATATATTAACCAAAAATTAGTTTCGAGAAACTACTTGACTAAGGTCTTCTGCTTAAAATAATATGTAAAGGATTGGGTCATATGAAAAGAGCAGAAGATTGATTATGTAATTTGACTATGTAATTCCATTTTAATTCTGCAGCACAGTAAGGGATAACGACATACGAATTTATTTTAGAAAATGCACACACGGAAAGAACAATTTTGTTGAAAGACCTAAAAATTTTGCTAAAAACAGATTTGAAAATAATTTTTTATTGAATCATCAAAATAATTTATTGGAATGTTTAAACTGATAAGTATTAATTGCTACAAAACGTTTTGATAATTTAACAATCATTTTGACTTTCACACAAAATAATTTTGATTATTGAACAAAAATTATTTTCAGATCTGGATTCAGCAAAATTGTTTTTTCCGTGCAGACTTTCAGATTAATCTTAAATATAGCATTGGTCATAATTTTATTTTTGTATTATGTACATATATAACAATACAAATGAAACTGACGTGTATTTATTATAAATTGCACTATGAACTACGTATATATATATTAAATATTGTACAGAACTTTTTGTTAATGCTTTACAATTAATACAACAAAATAAAAATAAAATTTTGTTTACTCGTCTCCTTTTGAAAAATCGACAACGGGCGTATATGTATAGGAAATTTGACAGAGACTTTTATTAGGAATTCCATTTGCCAATTACTTATGTCGCGAACTTTTGCTCTGGCTTTTTTCAAATCGTCCGGGTCCGAAAGTGCATCGCTATACATATCGCGACAGTGCGAAGATTCTTTAAAATAATACATACCATATTACATTACTTTTTATTATACATAGAAAAGAACGTAGAGTTCCGATATGTTTCTCTCTCTCAATACGTTGCATAATTATCATTTATGAATATAGCGGGTGAGAAAGCGTTTAAATCCTGGAGCACCGATAACGGATGCCATGGATCGATATCGCTGTTCGTGAAAATGACGTTTCGTAAGTCCGGCAGTTGTCCTCCGTACATTATATTTGTCCTTCTCACCCACGAATCTAATATATTTTTGCTATAACTAAAATTGAGTTTATATGCGTAATTGTTTCTTAGAATTAAAAATAATTTTATATTTTGTCAAATAATTTGGTGCGATAATAAGTGGTGTCATTTTTAAAATACTTACTAATCACCGTACAAAACAAGACACAGGTTGATGTAATAATCTAACGGAAACAGCGTTCCAAAC